CTGCTCTGGTTCGCCAGAAGCGGCTTAGTCCTGCTGGCCACATGACCCAGAAGCTGTACACCGGCTCCCTCTGCCAATAAAGCGAGATGAGCGCCGCAACCCCAGAGTCGGCCACGACTGGACCTAATGGTCAGGGGTCCCTTTACCTTTTATGAGAGGCTGGCTCGATGTCTAGACAGGAGCCTCCCACCAAGGATCCATCTGGCCTGTAATTCTGTTTCACGCAGTGACCAAAAACACCTACAAATATGTCAGTGTATCCCGGCCCGGCCCTAGGGCGAGGCGGAGTGAGGAGGCAGCTGGTTCTGATGTGGGGGGAGTGTCCAGTGTTTGAGTGCCATATGACCTGCCCTACACCTGCTAAGCTAAAGGGATGCGGGTGGCACTGTGGTCTCAACCAGTGAGCCTCTTGGGCTTGCTTATTGGAAGGTCAGCGGTTCAAATCCCCACGACGGGGTGAGCTCCCGTTGCTCTGTCCCAGCTCCTGCCAACCTAGCAGTTCGAAAGCACGTCAAAGTGCAAGTAGCTAAAGAGGTACCACTCCGGCGGGAAGGTAAACGGCGTTTCTGTGCGTTCTGGTTTCCGTCATGATGTCCCGTTGTGCCACAAGCGGTTTCGTCCTGCTGGCAACATGACCCAGAAAGCTGTGTGCGGACAAATGCCGGATCCCTCGGCCTGAAAGCGAGATGAGCGCCGCAACCCCATAGTCGCCTTTGACTGGACTTAACCCTCCAGGGGTCCTTTACCTTTTTACCTGCTAAGCTAGCCCATTGCCCATCATCATCATCATCATCATCATCAAATAAGTCGCTACCCTTTCACCAGAATTGGAGTAAGATTCAACTACCAGTCCAATTGGCTTCTATATGTGCCTTTTTATACTCTGTTCTGTTCCTAGAGCAATACTAATTTTCCTTAATCTTCACTGGAAAAGTAAAGGATGAATTTCTGCGATGAATTTTGACAACCGGTTAGCATGTGAAGGGCAAAATACCTGCCATATTAGTCACTGCAGGCTGGGATATTATGAAGGTTGAGGATAATAGTTTGTGAAGTTAGAAATGTTTCGCAGTAGTAAATAGACTCTGCTATAACAAGTACATCTGTTTGCTGGCTCAGTTTTGAGTTTCAGTTTTGCATGGGTCATGGCACAAGAGAGGATTGTATTGTCATGAATTAAATTTGGATACTGCCCTTCGTCTGAAGATCACAGGGTGACTCACAACCTGAAAATGCGCAGAGAGAACACAAAATACAAAATGAAAAGAAAAAAACCCCAATAACCCTCTTGACAGAAACACATTTAAAAGAATGGCTCAGGACTGCAAAGACCGCCTCTCTCCATATGACCCTCCCCAGACCCTGAGATCATCCTCTGAGACCCTTCTTTGTGTGCCTCCTCCACGAGAGACCTGGAGGGTGGCAACACGAGAACAGGGCCTTTTCTGCAGTGGCTCCCCGTTTGTGGAATACTCGCCCCAGAGAGGCCCGCTTGGCTACTTCATAGGCACTGGGCGAAAACGTTCCTCTTTAACCAGGCCTTTTAAAATGTGTTGTGGGAGGGAGGAATTATTGGGTTGTCTTTGTTTCTATATTATGTATTTTGTGTTCTTTATGTTGTGATTTTATGTTGTGAACCTCCCCTGAGATCTACAGGTCTAGGGCAAAAATAATAATGATAACTGGGAGATTGCAACATCTTGTCCTTTGCCTCAGGTGGCAAAATGTCTTGAGCAGGCCCTGATACAGTGGCACCTTGGTTCTCCAACGCCTTGGTCCTCAAACAACTTGGAACCTAAACACTGCAAACCCGGAAGTAAGTGTTCCGGTTTGCGAACTTTTTTCGGAAGCCGAACGTGCTCCATTTCTAGTGTTACACTTCCGATTTGAATGTTACTCTCAGGCCTGTCTGTTTTGCTATTTATTTTTGCGTTTTTGTTTTTGCGGCTTTTTTTTGTTTTGTTTTTGTGACTGTGTGGAACCCAGTTCAGCTACTGACTGACTGACTGACTGATTGATTGATTGATTGATTGATTGATTTCATGACTGCAGTACAGTGGTACCTCAGGTTACAGACTCCACTAACCCAGAAATAGTACCTCGGGTAAAGAAATTTGCTTCAGGATGAGAACAGAAATCGCGCGGCGGCAGCAGGAGGCCCCATTAGCTAAAGTGGTACCTCAGGTTAAGAGCAGTTTCAGGTTAAGAACAGACCTCCGGAACAAATTAAGTTCTTAACCCGAGGTACCACTGTACATTGTTTATTGCTTTCATTTTATGGATCAGCGGTCTCGTTAGATAGCAAAAACCATGTTAAATTGCTGTTTTGGGGTTGTTTTTAAAAGTCTGGAACGCATTAATCCGTTTTGCGTGACTTTCTATGGGAAAGCGCGTCTCGGTTTTGGAACGCTTTGGTTTTGGAACGGACGTCCGGAACGGATTAAGTCTGAGAACCAAGGTAGCACTGTATGTACTTTGTACTCCAAAGAACAAACAGATAAAAACAGAATCCTGTTCGTGCTTTGCATTCTTCCATGTTTGCAACGCATCCACAGATTCCTCTCCCCCCCCCCCCGGTCAGGCCCTTTGCTGGTAAGGAGCTTGCAGTTGAATAAAACCAATTTCAGGACTGAGCAGCAGGGACAGGAGCAGACTGGGAGCAAAGCACATCTTTGCTTCAGAACCCAGACGCAGCTGTTTGCTTTGTGTCACTTTCTTTGCCATATCTGCCCCGTCTCAAGCAGAGATAATCCCGACAGGGCAATCTCTCCCCTTTGCTTTCCTGGGACGGCGGGGGCTGGGGGGGTGGCCTTTCCTCCTCCGAAGCTGTAAACCAGACCTACTGTGATCCTCCAGCGCATGTGTAATTTTGTGGCAGCTGTGCTCTTCCGTCTTTGGGCTTCCCTGAACGGCGTTCCCATCCCACTTGGAATGCCAGAAATCTTGCTTGCATAGCTGTGGTTCCTCTGCCCCCTAAGCATGTAGGGAGTTTGGCCACAAAGACGAATGGTACCTGAAACAGACAGACAGACAGACGGACCCTGTTCCGGCCGGCCGTTCCATTCCCTCCCTCCCTGACACCCGTTTACCGTTTTTCTCCTCCAAAGGACTCACAACGTTCTGTGTAAGGATGCCAGAGAAAATGAGAAGTTGCCGACAATTGCTTATACCCAGAACGGAAATCAACCCGGCGATCGATTATTGCAATTGTTGCTTTCAGTTTGCAAATGGCACGTAATTTATTACTCCCTCCCTCACCCCACCCCAATTTAATAATAATAATTTTTTATTTATACCCCGCCCTCCCCAGCCAAGGCCGGGCTCAGGGCGGCTAACAAGCAATAATAAAAACAAGTTGAATGATTACAACTTAAAACAAAATTAAAATACAACATTAAAATATTAAAATGCCTCATTAAAATGTCTCATCGCAGGAGGAGAAGGAAAAGAAAAAAGAAAGAGAGGGAGGGAATCAAATTGGCTCCAAGCCAAAGGCCAGGCGGAACAGCTCTGTCTTACAGGCCCTGCGGAAAGAAATCAGATCCTGCAGGGCCCTGGTCTCATGAGACAGAGCGTTCCACCAGGCCGGAGCCAGTGTTGAAAAGGCCCTGGCTCTGGTTGAAGCCAATCTAACTTCCTTAGGGCCTGGGACCACTAGGGTGTTGCTATTTATGGACCTTGAGGCTCTCCGTGGGGCATACCGGGAGAGGCGGTCCCGTAGGTACGAGGGTCCTAGGCCGTGAAGGGCTTTCAAGGTCAAAACCAGCACCTTAAATCTGACCCTGTACTCCACCGGGAGCCAGTGCAACTGGAAAAGCACTGGGTGAATATGCTCCCATGGCAGAGACCCCGTGAGGAGCCTCGCTGCAGCATTCTGCACCCGCTGGAGTTTCTGGGACAGCTTCAAGGGCAGCCCCGCGTAGAGCGAATTACAGTAGTCAAGCAATTACAAGTAGTCAATTTGTGTTGCATTTGCTTTGAACAAATTGTGGAATCGTGTAGCAATGGTGTAATTAATTATGTAAAATTCTATCGCAGCAGACAGGAGAATGACACAGTATTTGACAGAAGCCCAACTGCAGCAGAATGGAAACATCGCTGCGTGGGGAGGGAAAGAGATCAGAGCAGAAACTTTTGCCTTCTTCCATTCTTAACTCTCTGGCTACTAACCATACTTAATTCTCCATGGGTGCTCTCTCTCTCTCTCTCTCTCTCTCTCTGTGTGTGTGTATTTCCCACCCAACCCCTATTTAAACTTTTAAAAAATATTTGGGTTCCTCTATAGATGCTGCTAGGGACGCCGGTGGCGCTGTGGGTTAAACCACAGAGCCTAAGGCTTGCCGATCAGAAGGTCGGCAGTTCAAATCCCCTTGACGGGGTGAGCTCCCGTTGCTCGGTCCCTGCTCCTGCCAACCTAGCAGTTCGAAAGCACGCCAAAAAGTGCAAATAGATAAATAGGTACCGCTCCAGCGGGAAGGTAAACGGCGTTTCCGTGTGCTGCTCTGGTTTTCCAGAAGCGGCTTAGTCCTGCTGGCCACATGACCCGGAAGCTGAACACTGGCTCCCTCGGCCAGTAAAGCGAGATGAGCGCCGCAACCCCAGAGTCGGTCACGACTGGACCTAATGGTCAGGGGTCCCTTTACCTTTACTATAGATGCTGCTACAATCTTCTCGTTTCCCTTTCTTATTTCTCACTAGCATTGTTTGGTTTAATTCCTGTTGGCCCTCACTACCTGAGTTTGTCATTAGAAAGAGTGGTGATTCGCCACCCCTCCCGAAGAAGTGAAGAAGGAAAAGTTTATGTTTGTGTGTTTCTTTGCCTGTGAAACTGAAGAGCGCTAGGAAAAAGTGGACCTGCGTTCTGGTGGGAATTGGGTTATGCATGAGGATTATTTTTTTTTTACAGCAAAGCAGAACCATCTGGAGGCAAAGAGGATAGCTCTGGTTTTGCTTACAGCTTGGATGGAGGTGCATGAGAAGGAAAATAAGAAACAGAAGCAGCCTGTTAATAATAATAATGTTAATTGGATGCTGCGCCAACGATGTCCAGAAAATCTTGTCTCCTGGCAAAGAGTTGCTGGCTCTTTCGGGCCGTTAGAGAAATCTCCTGGTGATCTGACAAGAAAGTGTTGCAAATGTCGGATCCTTCCTGGACGCGTTTGTTATGCCTGGAAAGAAAGGATGTGGTTGACAGCTTTGCAGAGCACGGATCTGGTTTATAAGGCCGAAAGTGTACTGGCGAGAAGTGTGTAAGAGTTGGACTCTGGCACCCAATTCAGTGTGTCTGGTTGTCAGATAGCACTGGAGAATCGCCCGGCGAAATGGCCAGTTCAGCAGATTCACAGAGGTTCAGGCTATTAACCTCGGGGTTTAACTTGCTTATTTTGAGGCAGTCTATAAGGTAAAGGTAAAGGGACCCCTGACCGTTAGGTCCAGTTGTGGCTGACTCTGGGGTTGCGGCACTCATCTCGCTTTATTGGCCGAGGTAGCCGGCGTACAGCTTCCGGGTCATGTGGTCAGCAGGTCTAAGCCGCTTCTGGCGAGCCAGAGCAGCGCATGGAAACGCCGTTTACCCTCCCGCTGGAGTGGTACCTATTTATCTACTTGCACTTTGCCGTGCTTTCGAACTGCTAGGTGCTAGGTGCTAGGGCAGGAGCAGGGACCAAGCAACGGGAGCTCACCCCGTCGCGGGGATTCGAACCGCCGACCTTCTGATCGGCAAGTCCTAGGCTCTGTGGTTTAACCAACAGCAGTGGCCCCAAAAGTAGTCACGCAGTTGAGCCAATGCGATTCATCGCAATAGATTGTATGGGTACACATAACTAAAACACCACTAAGTGGCAGTCAGACTTTGGGCGGACAGTGGAGTCAGATGAAAGGATTAATTGTGAATGATGACAGCGAACTTGAGTCAAGAACAATGAAAGTGGATTCCGCAGCAGGCTACCTACTTTTGAGCCACCTTGCAAATCCTATTTTGTGTTACTGGGTGGCCAATTGCGTGAATGAGTGTGTGCTTCATCTCTTAATCGTAGGCCTCCCATAGCCTCAGCGCTCTTCTTCCTTCCTCAGGAAGAACAGGCCCACCAATGATAGCTGCTAGCCATGGCTGTTGAACGGAACTTCCATGTTCCAGAGCAGTCTACCACTGAATAGTAAAAGGACGTGGGTGGCGCTGTGGCCTAAACCGCTCAGCCTCTTGGGCTTGCCGATCAGAAGGTTGGCAGTTCGCGACAGGGTGAGCTCCTGTTGCTCTGTCCCAGCTCCTGCCAACCTAGCAGTTCGAAAGCACACCAGTGCAAGTAGATAAATAGGTATCACTGTGGCGGGAAGGCAAATGGTGTTTCCGTGCACTCTGGTTTCCGTCCCGGTGTCCCGTTGTGCCAGAAGCGGTTTACTCCTGCTGGCCACATGATCTGGAAAGCCGTCTGTGGACAAACACCGGCTCCCTTGGCCTGAAAGCGAGATGAGCACCGCAACCCCAGAGTCGCCTTTGACTGGACTTAACCGTCCAGGGTTCCTTTACCTTTTACCACTAAATGCAAGATATTGCGGGCAAACCAGTAAGAGAGGGCTTTTAATGTCCTGTTGTTAGTGTACCTTTGGAGCATGTGGACGGTCTCGGTTGCAAAAAAAATGAGAGAAACGGATACTGGCAGAGGTTGGCATTTGGTTCCATCGTTGGTGAGAGTGACCATTTTGGGCAGCAGCTACTCATGTGTAGGCAGGCAGGGGGTGGCAGTTTGATAACAGAGCCGTAGGTGATATGCTCTCATACCTGTTCAGAGAGAGGTTGCTTTCAAACAGAGGACAGTCCAGTTCGGTTCTTCACAATTTGCAAATTTGCAAAATCTTCACGAAATTTGCAATTTGCAAAATCTTCACGAAAATTCACCTGCATTGTAATGCGAATTTCTTCTGATAATTACATTTTTGTATGCGACTAACACACACACTTCTGCAAGTTGTTGTTGTTTAGTCATTTAGTCGTGTCCGCCTCTTCGTGACCCCCTGGACCAGAGCACGCCAGGCACTCCTGTCTTCCACTGCCTCCTGCAGTTTGGTCAAACTCATGCTGGTAACTTCGAGAACACTGTCCCACCATCTCGTCCTCTGTCGTCCCCTTCTCTTTGTGCCCTCCATCTTTCCCAGCATCAGGGTCTTTTCCAGGGAGTCTTCTCTTCTCATGAAGTGGCCAAAGTCTTGGAGCCTCAGCTTCACGATCTGTCCTTCCAGTGAGCACTCAGGGCTGATTTCCTCCAGAATGGAGAGGTTTGATCTGCAAGTGGTTTTCCCTAATAGGATGCTTTTGCATGTACTGTTTTCATACTGTGTGCATTTGCACGGGAACTCTCTGTATGCACGCTTTACTTGCAGTCCTTGGCTGGAGAACTGACCTGTCAGGGAACTGACATCGGAGCTAGAGGTGGAGGGAAGGCTCTCCAATGATGCTGGAGAAGGGCCCAGCAGGGAGAGAGGCAGCTCAGCAGATGGGGAAGCAATTCAGTGCAACACCAGGAATAAGGAGGGGCAGACGGGGGAATCGGCGAGAGGGCTCCCAGACTCTTCACCGGACACCAGCGGGGAGAGCACGGGTCCCCCGCTACCCACGCCCTCCCTGCGCAGAAGACTTCTGCGCAGAGAAAGTAGGAGGAGACTGGGTGTCAAACAACTTTTATGTTGGAAAAGGTTTAAGAAACGCCCACTGACGGATTCTGCTAGCGACTGAGGCAGCCACGAATTGAAGGGCTGTCCAGACAGAAAGGTTTAACAAGGCAACATAGCCAGGAGAGGCGGCAACTTACGCACGAGCAACCCCATACCATTATATGACCCTTGCAGAATTTGGAGACATGTGATTCTTAACTCATGGCTGTGTCGCATTCCTCCTATTGTTCTGGGAAGTGTGAATTGGGGAGATTCTCCCTTAAATGCTAACGGATCTGGATTTCTGCCCCTGCTCCCGACTTCGGTCACCCTGAGAACAAATGAAGATCCCATTTAGCTGAGCATCCTGTTGTCACGCTGACCAGCTAGATGCCTCTGGGTGACCCAAACTCAGCACTTGAACGGGACTTAAATTACAAGAAAAGAGAGTCCGACTAAACCTAAGAAAAAAACTTTCTGACAGTAAGAGCTGTTCAACTAATAATAATAATATTTTTTTTAATTTATACCCTGCCCTCCCCAGCCAAGACCGGGCTCAGGGCGGCTAACACCAGGTATAATAATAATAATAATAATAATAATAATAATAATAATAATAATTTATTATTTATACCCCGCCCATCTGGCTGAGTTTCCCCAGCCACTCTGGGCGGCTTCCAATCAAGTGTTAAAAACAATACAGCGTTAAATATTAAACACTTCCCTGAACAGCGCTGCCTTCAGCTGTCTTTTAAAGAGAAGATAGCTGCTTATTTCCTTCACATCTGAAGGGAGGGCATTCCACAGGGCAGGTGCCACCACTGAGAAGGCCCTCTGTCTGGTTCCCTGTAATCTCACTTCTTGCAATGCGGGAACCACCAGAAGGCCCTCGGTGCTGGATCTTTAATCAAACAATTGATTAAAATACAACTTAAAAACATGATTAAGATACAACATTAAAATGCAGCCTCATTTCAGTAGAAACTCAGATCAAAAACTTTTGGGGGATGAAAACATTAAATCTTCACCAAGGCCAACTATCCAGACTGGTCCTACGTGGGCCAGAAAAAAGCCAGGGAAGTCCCCAAAAAGGAGTTCCATCACAGAAAGAGAAAGGAAAGAGGAAAGAGTGGGAGGGAATCAAGTTGATTCCAAGCCAAAGGCCAGGCGGAACAGCTCTGTCTTACAGGCCCTGCGGAAAGAAATCAGATCCTGCAGGGCCCTGGTCTCATGAGACAGAGCGTTCCACCAGGCTGGAGCCATCACTGAGAAGGCCCTGGCTCTGGTTGAAGCTAATCTGACTTCCTTAGGGCCCGGGACCACTAGGGTGTTGCTACTAATGGACGTTAAGGTCCTCCGAGGGGCATACCGGGAGAGGTGGTCCCGTAGGTACAAAGGTCCTAGGCCGTGGAATGGTCTCCCTCGGGAGGTTGTGGACTCTCCTCCCTTGGAGGTTTTTAAGCAGAGGTTGTGTGGCTATCTGCTGCGATTCCTGCATTGCAGGGGGTTGGACTAGATGACCTTTGGGGGGTCCCTTCCAGCTCTACGATTCTAGTCGGGTCTCTTGGTTTGTACTCCAGAAGCTTTTGCACCTCATAGTATAACAGCAGCGGCGATAAGAGAAGGGCGGAGGGAAACACGGAAGCGTTTTTGGCAGTGACACCCTCCTCTTTTTTCGCGAGGGCCGCCAAGAACACTTCACCAATTATTGGCCGGCGGATTGAAGATAAATCTTCATTTCCTGATGGCTTCCATCCCCTCGGCTTTGCCAAGACAAACTTGGGAGTGGGGATCTTTTGCTCTCTCTGACTCCCCCCCCCCATCCCGGCCCCCAACTGGATCACTTCGGAGATTCATCCTCTGTACCTCAACCCAAGTTTGTCGACGGAGAGAAATGTCACCACGTGACCCGCCGACAAAACAAGTGGCGCTTTTTCCGTCGTCTTGTTTTTGAGAGCTGGATATGATTCAGAGCAGTACCGGGGGGAAGAGGGGGAAACAGCCATAATAATCTCTGTGTGAGGAGCATGTGTTTTCTAAGCTGCACAAAGATGCGAGTGTCTCTTTTGACGGTGTACACAGTGGAAGTTGAGCCCGAGGCGTGTTGGGACTGGGGACAGAAATTCTGGCCGTGTTAAGAGTCTCGGAAAAGCTGGTTTGTCCCATCCTCCTGCCTCCGCCAGATACCCCTAGGAAGTTTGCAAGTGTGACCTACTCTTGTTTATAAGTCCTTGTTGATTCCCCAGCTTCTGGTATTGAAAAGCCGATTATTTTTAGACAGCGGAGGCTCAACAAGGCTGTTGTAGTTCAACTAGGCATGGGAGCGAAGTTCAATTTGATTTGCATTCAAAGCAGAACTTACCTTCCTGCTTTCCAAAACGCATCGCAAACGGAAACCCAACCCATTCTTAAAAATTCACACTTCTGCAGATGCCATAGTGAAGTTCGCCAGGCAGGTAAAGGTAAAGGTAAAGGGACCCCTGACCATTAGGTGCAGTCGTGGCCGACTCTGGGGTTGCGGCGCTCATCTTGCTTTATTGGCCGAGGGATCTGGTGTCCAGCTTCTGGGTTATGTGGCCAGCAGGACTAAGCCGCTTCTGGCGAACCAGAGCAGCGCACGGAAACGCCGTTTACCTTCCCCCTGGTGCAGTACTTATTTATCTACTTGCACTCTGATGTGCTTTCGAACTGCTAGGTTTGCAGGAGCAGGGACCGAGCAACGGGAGCTCACCCCGTCATTGCGGGGATTCGAACTGCCGACCTTCTGATCTGCAAGTCCTAGGCTCTGTGGTTTAACCCACAGCACCACCTGCGTCCCATCCCCAGGCAGGTAATATGTACCAAAAAGAGGGGTACAGTGGTACCTCGGCTTAAGAACGTAATTCGTTCCGGAGGCCTGTTCTTAACGTGAAACTGTTCTTAACCTGAGGTACCACTTTAGCTAATGGGGCCTCCTGCTGCCGCCACCGCTGCGCGATTTCTCTTCTCATCCTGAAGCAAAGTTCTTAACCCGAGGTACTATTTCTGGGTTAGCGGAGTCTGTAACCAGAAGTGTATGTAACCTGAAGTGTCTGTAACCTGAGGTACCACTATATATCAGTGCAGACTGATATGAAAACTGTCCGATTCACCGATCCCTAAGTTAAGTTTTTTAAAAGGTAAAGGACCCCTGAATGGTTCAGTCCAGTCAAAGGCGAATATGGGGTTGTGGCGCTCATCTCGCCTTCAGGCCGAGGGAGCCGGCGTTTGTCCACAGACAGCTTTCGGGTCATGTGTCCAGCAGGACTAAACTGCTTCTGGTGCAATGGGACACCGTGACGTAAACCACAGTGCACGGAAACGCCGTTTACCTTCCCACCACAGTGGTACCTATTTATCTACTTGCACTGGTGTGCTCCCTGGGAACCTTCTGGGGGCTGCATGCTAACGGTGGGCGGGGCCAAATCAGTGGGTGGAGC